CGCCTTGTTGGCGCACGTATGCGCATGCACGAAATGCCTCGTATACCATGCTTTTCGGCCTGTGCTGTGATGCGTGCACTTTGTCTGCGCGCGTTTACGCGGCGACGGAGCGCTATTGTACTTTATTTCTTAGCGAGAGGGGGTTAGAATGTGCCGCCATTGGAATGCTACTGAACCTTCCCTACGACGCTATCAAGCACTTCTGCTGGGTTGCTGTTAAGGAACTTAGTTTAAGATACTAAGCTGGGAAAACCCTATGATTTACGTACTATATATTCCCATGATGGTAACCTTTAAGTTCCCTAACAGCAACCTAGTCGGTTAAGCTTGATTCGCTCGCTTTGCGTTAGATGTGGATGGGACTCTGAACGGTTACTGAAGCTGAATGGTCGTCTGCATACATAGGGGACCGCAATATGTACTCCAATGTATCATGGTTCTTTGTATAGGGACTCCAAAAATGGTTCTTCTAATTTTTGGAACCCAAATGCCAACAGGATGAGTCAGATTTTGCCGTTAGTCCTGCTCACAGCGAATTGGATTCCATTTCGTTCTCCTTTTCTCTTGCAATTGATTCTCCATTGCTCCATAAACCCCCTATAGATCCCTGCATATCCATAAGCCCTAAGCCCTAAAGCCCCTTTGTTCCCAGGCCTGGATATCGCTCTTGTGCTCCTGACCTTCGTGGAGCGCATGGCAGCAGGTGCTTCAATGGCCCGGTCGTTGCCTTCGATCCGCTTGCTTAGGCGAGGGACGCGGTTTAGGGTTGAAGGGCTTAGGGCTGAGGCTTTACGGATGCTGAGGCTGAAGGGAAGACCTCTGACAGTAAGGATGCTGTGAAACGTCTGCATCAATCGACAAGAGTCTTGCCACAGTAGTCAGCATCTGAGACAGTTCCCATGGTGCTTCTGCGGGACAGCGTAGGCCGCATCATCCCTCAAATTGGCTGAGTCTTCAAGCCTGATAAGATTGCCACCTTGTTACATGAGGACCCCAGCACTGTCAGATTTCCTTTCTTAAATCCTAGAATCCTGAATACTGAACCCTAAATCCTAAGCCCCAAATCCTAAACCCTATGTCCTAAGCCCCAAATCCTAAACCCTAAATCCTGAGCCTCAAATCCTAAGCCCTAAGCTAAATCCTGAGCCCTAAATCCTGATGTCGCGTCTCTCTCTGTCTCTGTCTCTCTCTCTCTCTCTCTCTTATGTAATCCCAATACTGGAGAATCAAATGGAAACAAAAACTGGGGTATCCTAATCCCTAAGCCCTGAACCCAAAACCGTAAACCCTGAACATAAACGGTTTGCGGGCTGAAGCATGGGATGCTCCAGGCACGCCTACTTGTAGCTTGCTTCGCTTCAACCAGGTTCGAAACATGCTATGGTGCCCGAGCCATGCATGTGGCAAAACACCCGTAAAGCTTCCTAGGGTTTAAGGTTATATCCTCAGTTTCGTTTTCATTGTCCAGTTTCTGTTCCGTTTCTTTCCTCATTTATTGGGATTATTTATCCCAAAGCCCTGAACCCTAAGCCCTAAACCCTTCATAAACCTTAAGCGGTTTGCTTGCCAGGTTGCTTCGGCTAATTCGTGCTTTCAAGAGCATGTCCAAGTCCAAGGAGCTCATTGTACTGCTAAGTGGGACCAGCAAAGCAGCCAGGACCGGGTTTAGGTTTAGGATTTAGGATTTAGAGTTTAGGTCCGCCTGGGCACGTGAGAGAGAGAGAGAGAGTTTAGGATTTAGGGTTTAGGATTTTAGGTTTAGGGTTTCGAATTTAGGATTTAGGATGCTGCAACATGCGGTGCGTTATGCCTCAACTTCGCGTCGGACAGTCTTGAGCTGAGCACGTGAGAGAGAGAGGGTTTAGGATTTAGGGTTTAGGGTTGTGGGTTTAGGGTTTAGGCACCAAAACGGGGTTCCAAAGACGAGGGGTCCCTCATTGGTTTCGACGATAAGGATTGGAATATACTGTGGCCGACATTTTGGGGCTCCATTTTTCATGGAAAACCACCGATATTGCGGTAATTGAGTCTTCCTATCATACAAAACCCGCCCCCCCGTTGTCAATGTGCCCCACTCACCATGCTAGTATCCTCATACAGTACTGCGGGGAGTATCGGGACTCGTGCCAGCTGGCGGGCTCCTCACTACGACAGTGGAACTGTGGATCATTTGTTGCTGCTGCTGCTGCTGGTGCTATGGTTAAGGTTGTTTTGGTGCAGTCATCCGTGAATATTTAGATTCGTCGTCGATTCGAATGGCTGGGAAGCTTCCTGACTTCACGCACTTATGGCCTTGGATGGTCCCTCAGTCCCTTTTTTTAAAAACTTGTTTTTGGTACAGCCAATGAAGGACGCTCCTGTGGACCACGCTCTTGGGCAAATATTGTGCATTTTTTGTTTTTTCTAGAATGCCATGTCAAAAAGGGCTCGCAAGGAGTGACTTTCATACAAGCTTTCGCCCAGTCCACTCATCTGCACCGAATGATGTGAAGACAAATGAAGTGTAACATCTTTCGCAATGTCCCTGCCTTAGACCTTAAATAGTAGTTTCCATTTTATTTCCCATTATCTCCACATAACCGCAGTATAAACCCTACTGGGTACCTATATCCCCCAACTGGTTGACGGGCCTAACCTAAATCAATTTCCGACGCTGTCCCAGGCTGTTTCTGTTCTCCATCATTTGGTCGGCAGGCGCATGCACACAGCAGGCCAGTTATGCCTCTCCGGGCCAATTCTCTACGAGTTGCACGGACATCATTCCAGCATCATGCCCGAAGCATATCGCCGTAGTGTTTTGTCTAAGGGCCTTAGCCGAAAAGGAATTCGGACTTTGAGTTGCCACACATTTTTTAAGGAATTCTCATGACTAATCAGTACGGTAAAGAGAAACAGTGACAATCAGCAGCTCAGCATGAGCTGTTGAGTGGCCTTGGCTGGATCGATTGCCCTCCCCCAAGGAAACTTGGCCTGTGTCAGCTGCTGTCAATGTTATGGTTCGCAAGGGACCAATAAGAGTGGACATAAGTTGACATAAGTGTCCCATTAAGTAGTTCAGTGTATTACCTGGTATGTTCCGTTTATTTGGAACCCATGTTCAGACATGATCTGGGGAATGATCCCTAAGCCCTAAATAGCATGGTCGTATAAATTTCAATTTCCATTTCGGCATTTGATCTTCCAGTAAAGAATTGCGAAATGTTGACTGTTGATCATTTGAACTGGTTTAAAGTTTAAACTCCTGAAAGGCTGGTGATCAGGATTATATAGGGGACCCATCTAGGGCCTATGAAGGCGATACTCGGAGTTTAGACCCTAAATCCTAGGTCCTAGGTCATATAACCCCGACATATGCCCTATTGAAATCTAGTAGCTGCCATTTTCTTTTCCATAGTCCCATATATCCCCTATATTCCCAAAGTCCCATATTCCCTACTAACCCTAAACCCTGCTAATTTGGGTTGCAGGGCGGGCCCATCTGTCAGGTCATTGGCAGATCACCAGTGTGGAACGGAAGCTGCTCAGCTGCACAAGTCAGAAAGCATTCTTGGGGGGATTCCTTTCAAGGAGGATATAGGGGGTATGTAGGGAGAGTTGTAGGCGGATATAGGGTTCAGGTTTAGGGTTTCCCGGATATACCCCCGGTAAGGATTATAGTATTTTTGGATCTGCATTGGGGGTCCCCCTCATTTACGGAAGCTATACGATCCAGTATATACTGTGCTATCCTGTGCTGTGCTGTCTTGCTGGGGCATTGCAAGCACGCAAACCACATCAGTATGCGTTCTGTTGAAGGTACGAATCCGCTACAGGAGTTTGAGCCGTTCACTTCATTCGACAACCGCGAGTACTTCGGAAACATCTGGATGAGCTGCTCAGTCGCTACGGGGTGCAGACTGAAAACTACTGTATTTAGGGTTTGGGGTTGGAAAATCAAATGGGAAAGAACATGG